AACCTGTTAGTTTAACGCAAATCGCACGGAAGACGACTAATAAAAATGAATATTATTATTAGCCAACAATCAATTGATATGCGTTCAGTATGTAGCGGATTCGATTCCCGATCGGGCATCAATATTAATTTATTACGCGTCGCTGCTTGTCTTGTTCCATTACTCGCAGTCAGTCGCGGCTGGTCCAATATGAAGCATGGGGCGGAGGAATTACGCTGGTGCAGAGGAACGCATAATTTACTGTATTTTTCCAATCTTCTTCTTCTTCTTCTAATATTATAAAGAGGAAAGATTTGTTTGTTTGTTTGTTTGTATTGAACAGGCTCCGAAACTACTGAACCGATTTGAAAAATTCTTTCACTGTTTGGAAGCTACACCATTCCTGAGTGACATAGGCCGTAATCTTTTTTGAAAAAAAATTGGGATCCTTACTAAAAATCCAATAATGTAACCCAAGGTGTAAAAAAATTACCTAAAATATTCTAAACATCGCGTGCCCTGCGAAAATTATTGATGATAGAATAAAATAATGTACTACGACATTGTATAACACATTATTATTTACAAAAAGTGTCACAACAGCATACGTCTAACTATTATAGTTATGCCGCAATAAGTGGGCTCAATCTGAGAGAATTTGCTAACACTAGCCCTAGCGAGAACAGTGCTTCGCAGAATCTACTACTGGATCGGAATCGCGACCCACTGAGAAGATCCGGCGAGAAGCTCAGTGGGCTGTGTCTGTGGGTTAGTTCGCTCGTCGACGAGGACGGTGACCGGTGGTTGAGAGCCTAAAAGCACCGAGAGTGAATCCGGGGGATCCGACAAGTGTGTTTAGTGCGAGTTTTTTAACATTCTCGATCGCGAAAAAATAAACTTAAATTTTTATGCAGTTGGAACAGCGCCCCTAGCGGCAAACGTACGCAAACATTCCAACTCCATACAAATTTGAGTTAACTTTTACGCTATCGAGAACGTTAAAAAACTCGCACTAAGCACAAGACATGTTACAAGCGGCGGCTTTGTGTTGCCCCGTCGCGTCGTCTGGATCGTATATGTAATTAGCGTTGACCACGGTAAGAGGGTTCTTTTGAGATAATACAAACATGTTTCTATTATTAAAATCTTCCACCTACACCGTGTCTATACTATAGAACGTAATAATATTTTAATTAACCAACAATCCTTTTAAAGTTATCGGGTATCGTAAAATAACGTTAATATTTAAGGGCACCTCGTAAAATGACTAAATTTATATCTACTTTATTTATAATGCACCGGAAAGTGTTTATTGATCGTTTTCGAAGAGCACGTGTCTCAGAAGAACGTTGCTAGGTTCGGGTAAACGACTTGAAGCCAAGAACATTCTAGATGATTTTCAGTGACGTTCTTTTATATAGCCCACCTGATGGTGAGTGGTTACCGTCGCCCATGGACTTCTTTTTTTTTCCTACCTAAGCCGATGGTCTAGAGAGGATACTTCAGTCGAACATCGTGAGACTGTCAAAAGATTTGTAATACAACAATGTGTTTTATCCTCGTCAGGTATTAGAACAATTCTTCGAGATCATAGGTCGTCAACAACGCGAGTTAATTTTCAATTTAATCGCACGTCCTTAAGCTTTTGTGTTCGGTTTGTAATTTTCCATGTCGCGCGGCAGAAATAGGCAAAAGATTTGCAGCTACCCTCCCGCGCGGCAGAAATAGGGAAAATTGTTGCACCTATCATTGCGAACTCACGGTAAACACAACTAGGCGTTGACTATAATGGTTTAAATTACCAAACTGTTCCGATATATTGTGGAAACAACGAATATTATGTTCGCGTTCCCGTCATGAGTAACCGAGTCAAAAACGGATAGATTTAATTGGGTTTAATCGACTACAATTAGTAATTATTCTCCCGGTTCAGCTGTTTATTTAAAATAGGGCTGTAATACCATCGACAAATTTTACGGGCCGCGGATCCATTAAAAAAGAAAACGTGTCGCAATAAAAACAAATAATCATGTTTGAATGTTTGGAAAATGCCTTTTTTTATTGCTTTGTTGAGAGGACGAGCTCACGGCCTACCTATTGTTAAGTGGTTACCGGAACCCATAGACACTGACCACGTAAATGCCGCCACTCATCCTGAGATATGAGTTCTTTTCGTTGACGCCGCTGGCGACCCCCGGCCACCGTACTTGTCAAACTCGAAAAGAATTCGACGTACAACTTAACCCATGCATCAGGCCGCTGAGTTTCTCGCCGGATCTTCTCAGCGGGTCGCGATTCCGATCCGGTAGTAGATTCATTCGCGAAGCAGCTGCTCTTGAGTTGTTAGAGACGCTCGGGCAACTGTTAGCAAATCCCACCCCTCCTGGCTGAGCCTTTGCTCGCCCACGTGTCAAGTAATAAGATTTTTATAATTTGTCGTATTAATTAGTTACAGTTTATGAATAATAAAAAACGAAGGAAACTTAATCAATTGGCATGAAATTAAATAAAATGAGACGAGATTATATGGAATGAAATATAATCTCAGTAAAATGGTGGTCATTTACTGAGACTTTTTCAGTGGACTTTTTGGTGTCCCGAGAAGCTACCTTCAGCGGCTTCGTTTCATTTCCCACATTTGTGCACTTGCACAGATACTAAACAGATAATAGACCACCGTTATTACACATTTAAACATGAAGAAACACTAAATAGACAAAATAAAATAAATCACACTACTTCGCTCATCGCGTTCCCGCCAAAAAGTCAAATATGATTGTAACAAAGTTCAGTTTTCAATTGAAAAAAAAATATGTCATTTTTCCCGCCATTTCTGACCGTAATATTTTTTTCTGAGCCATTAACACATCTACCCAGGGCAGCCCTAATTTAAAGTGACGAGCAGTAGACGTGACTAACAGACCACGGGTTTGGAGCAGTCGAGTTTTTTTTTTTAAAGTGATAATGTCTACAGTGTATTAATTTACGGCTCGGAACATTGTTATTGACATAGACGCGTTTAAAAACCGGACATATCATTTCCTTATCTCACTCACATTATCGGCCTCACGACATTCTTAGACAATTTTTGAGGTCCGAATTTAAAGCCTCAAATAAGCTAGCCTCTTCAGGATACGTCTTCTGATGAATAACCTAGCACACCATCTTCAAAGATCTAGGATTACGACACGGGAAGCCAAAAAAAGAAATCTTCTTTTGGCAAATATCACTTTTGTGGGAATTCGTTTACAGATTTTTTTTCTTATCGGCTAAACCTAAAATGATATTTAAAAGCAATTGCTGCGTAACTCATATTTAAAATATGAACAAACTTATTGTACTGAATATAAAGAAAATTACAATTTTTATCTAAACTAGAGGTCCCGCAGTAGTCGAAATTCGACTATAATTAATTGGAATTGTAAGTTTGTACACTATTATGATTGTATTTTATACTTCTATAATCACAAATTCGCCAAGACTACACTGTAAAAAATATAATAATTCAATATTGACAAAGACAAACAATATTTAATCTCAATTTGACAACAGACGTCAAGAACAAAAGTTTGACAATAAATAGTATGCATGCGTGTGTGCGTCAAATACATGGTATGTAGTGTGTGTAATGTTTTCTTTATTGATTTAATGTATCTTTTATGCATTATTTTAAAAAAATTAGCATTGTGAACTTCTTCTCTATGTTCTCTATAAGTGTGGAAAATTTCATAGTCCTCCGTCCGCGCAATTTTCGTAAAAAAGCGTTACAAAGTTTTTGCTTCACGTATTAATATATAGATTATACATTGTTGGAAAGTTGCATGTGTTTAAAGTTAAAATCGACTTAATGCCATTAATGTCTAGATAGTAATTAATAAAATGCATTGGAACAAAACAAATCGAGAAATCAACTTAGCACATGCGAATTCGAACAACGTTCATTCATACAATATTTGACTGAAGAAAGGTCCTATCCTCCTTAAATCTGTTACACCAATATTCAGTTTATGTCAATGAAACTATAGACCATCTTCGTATGGCGATAAACAAAGTCTTCTTTATTCGAAAATGATGATAACAGCCGAATTTTGTTATTTCAATTTGGATATTAATACACAAAAAATAAAGCTTCATAAAAAAATCTTAATTCAATGCATAGAATTGATAGATATATAGAATTTTCTAATATTTAATAAGATGTTCTTTTTTCAAAATTTCGAATTACGCGTTGTGTTTCTGCAAAAAAGAACAAATAATTTAAATATTTATTTTTATTCTAATGTGTAATTATCATTAGCTGTTTTATTTTATATTATTCGAGATATTTAACGCTGACTATGAGGGAGATTACAAGACAAAGTAAATGTCTCAGGGTAATCGCTTAACCCGGAACGCATACTGTCCGAAATTCTGAAATGTTTCTCTATCTCTCAAGTACGGCGACTCGCAAAGTCTACAAAAGATTTATGTGCATTGTGCGCTGCCGGATAGTCAACGACGCTTCCGAATTAAAACCAGAGCTTTCAGGATGTCTTCGAATTTTATACACCAACAAACAATCTTTTTTTATATAACAGTATACATTATTTAAGACGTTTGAAACCAGTTTTGTTTTGAACTTTATTTATTTTGTTTTATAAAACTTATATGTACGCATAAAATTAACAACACTGTATGTAACACAAACGACGCGCATTTTAAATTTAAATAATTTATCCTTAACGCGTCATCGAACAATGGCCGCGCCGCGCCGTGCCGTATGAACAAGGAAAAAAACAATTCATTATAACATGCAATTAATACTAACTAAATAAATACATCTAAGCTAATAGACGGTTCCGATTTCCGAACGGGAAATCGTATTAACGTTCAGGAAGCCTTAAGACGTTTGAATGCACAGTGCATTTCGTTTTTAGTTCGGTTACGCCACAGTATCTCGGCGCACACAGAAATAACGCGTATTATATCGGTCAGGAAGATAGAATGCTCCGCATTAATTGCCCGCGATGAACCACTATCCACGGGGACGCGAGCCGAGCGGACGCTTGCCTCCCGTTATTAAAAACAACAAAAAAACCCAGAGGAAAACCGAGCAAGTCCGTACGTGCGCGCTCTGTGTTTTTTTTTTTTTGTATTCTATAATAAGTATAATTAAACAATCGGCGAATATATCCACGTTATCGTCGTAAAGGTCAGAGATGCGTCCGTCGTTCGTAATTAGGAAGAAAACAGAGCGATAAGCAATCGCGTTAGAGTGCAAATGTCGTCGACTCGGCGGCTCCGAGCGCTCTGACGTTACCACGTCGATGTCAGTTCTCTCCGCGCTATGGAGACGTCAAACGTCCCTTCGTGGAATCCCGCGCGTTGATTCATACACCGGTTATCGCGTTTCGAACGGTGAGCGGAATCATGTGTGAGGTTGCAAGTTGGATTCCGGACGCGGTCGCGGTCACACTGCGCGACGCTAGCTCCGTGCAGCCGGTCCTCGCCTGGCTGTCAGCTTTGCGAGCCTCCACCGAGGAGTACGACCAACTCCCCGTTGTTGTTCCTGCCGAAGAACCGTCCCGCGCCTCCCCGGATAGCGCCTTCGACGAGATACTCTCGCAACTCGGAAAAGAAATCTTCAAGCTCGAGGAGTACCATCAAAACCTCCTCCCTCCGCCAGAGAAGGAGGTCTCCCTCAGCATCCTCAATATATTTGACGAATGCTTAGATCGGATGTCGGAAAAACAGTGTAATGGAAATGTGGAAGAGTGCAGTGAGTGCGAATCGACTCTATCCGACGTTTCCATGGCGACGAGTTTGCCCGCGAAAAGTGCCGATGTAAACAGTGACGTGAATTGTATTTTTGATAAGGGCGAGGGCACACCGGTACCGCCGCGCAGGACTAGATTCAAATCGTCGTCCTCTGTGGTTGTCGGGGACAATATGGAAGAAAATCTTGACGGTGAGCAACGGTCCAAGTGCACCCAGTCTGATAGCGATTCGGAGAGCACGTGTTGGAGCTACAAGGAGTGCAGTACGGAGACCGAGCAGGAGGGTCGCGGGACCTACGCCGAGGTTTGGTCCCACTCGAGCGGCTTCCACAACTCGGACGAGATCCTGCGGAGCGTGCTTCGTCAGAATCACGCGACGGTGTCCTGCCTCTCGCTGGACTCGGCCCGCGACCTGGAGCCGGCGTCGTTCTCGGTGTACGCGCTGCACGAGGTGGGGGACAGGTGCGTATCGCCAGTCGCCGCGATGACGCCCGACCGGCCGATCGACCCCGACTACGAGCCCGTGCGGGACGCGCTCACCGACGAAAACATTTACGAGGAGATCGAGTACAGCTACACGGACGAGGGCTGCTCCTGCGGCACCAGCGTCGAGGTCGAGACCTATTCCACCAGCTCCGGCCGCGAGACTCCATTATACGCAAACCTGACAGACAACGACGCGTACGCGATAACTCCGGATGTCATCTTCTGGAAGAACCTGCTCTTAGATCCGTTCTACAACGAAGACGAAGAGGACGAGGTTGGTACAATTTGTTTCTATTGTTGAATATTGATGATCGTCTGATTGCGACGCGCGTAAGGACAGGACGCGCGTAATCACAACGCTACTGGTTGTAAATTTTACCTGTTCATTATTGTGTTTGTGTGTGTGATCCATTGGATACGACTAAATACTGCATTTTCATTAATGACAGCATCAGAGTAATCGCTTCTAATTAATTCTATTAGTTTACTTCAATGAAAGATTCTAACGTATTAATTTTTCATTGTAAATGTATTTTATCAATGAACCCCACCTTTATTGTTCTTTGTGACAACGTTACGTTTTTATCTAAATTACATTGAAACTACGTGTTATCTTACGATGCGAAATTCAAATATTTGCTTAAGAAAGTAAACATAAATAGTATAACGTGGCTGTATGCTTGAGAAATCCGATCCTCAATTAAAAAGACCAATCCAATTAATGTGAAGATCGAAAATTAAAAAAAGAAAAAATTAAGTGTCAGCTTTGTTCTGTATTACCAACATTACAACAACGTACTAATTTTTGTTTACACGTCAGAGATAAAATGTTATGTAAACAAAATGCAAAGTTACTCATTTTCGACTTGTAATAAACATACAATAAAGCGTTTCGTGATTCATTGACCGCAATTTATTTTATGCTTATTGTTTGAAAACTTGTCGAAAAATAAACATTTGTGTTGGTTACTTACTGCATGCATTTCGTGATAATCATAAAAACAACAAACCTCTTTTCCTTCAAAATATATCACAGAACATAAATTATTTGAATTCGAATCTTATTCTAATTCGATAAATCTGCTTCAGAGAATTACGTACATTTAGTGTGAATGCAATGCGCGGGCCACAAGTTACATTCCATTAGCCAAACACATCAAACGTATGTGCAACGGAGAATATCCGATAAACCTCGTCTCTATGGTTCCTACGTAATGTAAAGCAGAAAGATAAAAGCGCACGTGCTAGAACCAGAATAACTTTTTTATTTTTTTTATTAAACTGCATGCATCTAACCTTCTTGTTGGGTTAGAAAAAATAAAAAAATCGTATCTCACTTTCGATTTCTTTTTTAAATGATATTTATGACCTTGAGAACTTCGAACGCGGCTTGCGAGCGATTTCATTGATATTACGATATGACTTTTAGAAATGTTTTCTTTCACATTTGTAATTCGGACTCGTGTAATAATGCAACTTGACTTGTGATATGTGCAATAGTAATTATAATTTAGATATACACTTAAAGAAACTTTTTTCTTACGGATAATTTTTGGTAATATCTGACCTATCTTTCAAATCGAAAGGCATTACTGTTTCACGGTAGAAACAGGCAGGATGATGGTACCTACCCGTGCGGGCTCAAAATACGCCTTACTACTAGTAATTTAAATCAGTGACTCAAAAGCAATTAAGGTTTGAATGTATGAAGTAAAACATAAAAAATACGTCATCAAAACCTGTTTTGCTGTATAATGAACTAAGCTGTTCTAAAGTTAGCAGTAATGAAAAATGCAAAATATTTCAAAATCCACTTAAGACCATTATTATGAAAAAAAAAATGTTTGGTCAAAACTAAGAAGAAGAAGAAGAAAATCTTTATTCGCCAGAAATATAGTTTACAAGATGTTATGGATATAGGACATAGTTTCATATATTTCGCCTGTTTAGGCATGCGAAAATTTAACTTATTTTTATATTAATTCTAACACAAAATTTACTAAATCTATCCATTTTTACATTCTATCACTTCTTATTCTAATATTTTATTATGTACAACACTTATCATTTAAAAATTCTTGCACACTATAATAAGACTTATCTATTAGCCATAAATATAATTTTCTTCTAAATTGAGTTAGTGGAAGATCTCTTATGCTGTTCGGTATCTTATTAAATATTCTGATAGTCATAGGATAACAGTTTGTATGAAGCGTAAATGGTGTCTAAAAAATTTTGGCGCGAATTTAATCCTGACATTTTGTTTTTTTTTTTTGCTTGTTGCCGCAACCAAAAATCATTTCTTAACCTCCACAAAAAAAAAAAACAATAGGGCGTTCAATTATTATTGTAATCGTATAAACTAGTGCCATAATAAGAATCGGCGAAGATGTTTTTAATCGCTTCGAATGACATCATATCCGAGGAGACGTCATGTGTAAATTCATTGTTGCTTTACAACGGGCGGCCATTGTTATTGTGACACAACAAATTTTAATGTAAAATAAACTTGCGTTTTATTAATTAAAATTGTTATTGATACAATATAAATTTTGTTTTCGTCGGTCACACGTCATAATATGATTATGCGTAGGTTTAGTTGTACCAGATTTAATTGTTTTTAATCAACCCGTTCACGGCCATTAGTAACTTAACCTTTTAGTCTAGTTATTAAAATAATCTTCATTGTTTTACTGGTGCACGGAATAGATAAATAAGGTAATACAAAATTAGAGCAAAGGCTTTTCCAACCTTATTTATCTATTCCGTGTACTGCTGGAAATCAGACGTCTCAATGTGCTTTTTAAGAAAACCCAAAAAAAACATTCCTATTTTTCGACACTGGTGCGTTTTAGGAGTATAATTTTGTTGACAACGCAGGACTACTCAGGGTTGCTCATAATTTATTGTCATTGTTGATGACAGTGTGGCGGGTAGCTATCATACAACGCAAGATAATTGACTGATGCCTGAATCTCGCTTACAACATTTTCAAGATAAAGCGCATATATACAAGTTCCAAACAACAACATTGGACCGTCGGTCTACCGAGCAAATATCACCTGCTCGGTGGAAGATCTTCCCTTTGTCGTATACCTACAAACTACTTCCACTGGTGCTGCATCTGTCAATTATCTTGCGTTGTATGATGGCTACCCGCCACATCAGCATGAGTGACCGTTCTCAACACAAATTAATTCGTTTGAGTATCCATGTCTGTTGCTTAAAAACTTATTTAGGTGAAACGATTTTGATGAACCTTTTTTATTGCTTAGATGGGTGGACGAGCTCACAGCCCACCTGATGTTAAGTGGTTACTGGAGCCCATAGACATCTACAACGTAAATGCGCCACCCATCTTGAGATATAAGTTCTAAAGTCTTAGTATAGTTACAACGGCTACCCCACCATTCAAACCGAAACGCATTACTGCTTCACAGCGGAAATAGGCGGGGTGGCAGTACTTACCCGTGCGGACTCACAAGAGGCCCTACCACCAGTAAAATGATGAATCTTTTATTTTTATTTTTTATATGCTGGTGCTTTTCGTGTGGTCCCATTTTATTTTCCAGAATTCGTCATATTTTAACTGACTTCGAATACATTAACGATATCTAATTTTGTTTTGTCGTAATATATATATACCTTCCCTAATTGAAGGATAGTATAAATATAATTATGGTACAATTATGGCTTTGCGGTCTCTTCATAACCGTGGCTTCCGAGCCAAATAGCTGCGACAGCCGGACAATACGAAATTATTATCGCCTACAGAACCATTAAAACATTATCTTCATTCTAACCGATCACTGGCCCCCGGCAAGCTCCAACTTCAATCAATCTAAATTGTGTGAACAGACAAACAAACAAATGATTTCAAAAAGATTCTTGTACGGGAACTTAAAATACCTCTTCTCTGTTCAAAGAGATGTACTTCCTAGAAGGTTCGTTCCAGGTATCATCGGTATTAAAGATATTATTGGTATTGGTATTAAAAGATGATCATAATATGATTGACGACTCAGCTCGATATAGAAAAGTCAGACTTAATTTGATTCGAACACTTTTTTGAAGAATCTTGTTTTACTTTAATTATTTTAATTTCTGGTTTTTCTTATACAAACTCTATTTACGTCGATGTCGAAAAAGTCGTGGTAAGCTCTGAAATATGCTTACTATACCACCTATTATTATGCCACTTATTACTATACCACCTATTACTATACCATCTATTACTATACCACCTATTACTATACCATCTATTACTATACCGCCTATTACTATACCACCTATTATGATACCACTTATTACTATACCACCTGTTACTATACCACGTTCACTGTTCGTAACAACTACACATTTTATCGCGGAATAGCATTTGACTCCTGTCGTGACAATTCCATTTCTCCTCTGAAGGATTTTGCGTTGTGATCTGCAAAAATGATAAAAAGTTCAGTAAAGTGTGGTTTTTTCACTGAACTATACAAATCGATACAAAAAATGGTATTAACAAATGGACTGACTCTCACTGGGCAGATAGGTGATGCTAAAATATTTAGTCTGCACTACCTTTGCTTGACTGGTAGAGAAAGATTAGGCATTAAATCCGCCATTGTAAATTTTACATGAAGTGTAATAAATAAATAAAATGAGCATGCTATAGCTTAAACTGCATTAACTTTAGAAAAGTGTTTCTCGGAAAAAAAGACATCAAATTTTAAGAGAATGTGATTCAAGTAAGGAAAAAGAGTCTGCAAAGCGTGGCCGGGCTTAGCTAGTTCAAAAATATAACTGACGATTGACGTAAATGTATCAAGCGATGTAGGTCACAGTTTATCAATTTTAATAAACTTAAATAAATTTACAAAAAAAAAGCAATAAAATGGAATATTTGCGTGTCAAAATTATTGAATGACCTTTTAAAGATGATTTGTTTAAAGTTGCAATACATTAGATAAGACTTTTATATGTATTAATTAATTGCATTAAAAATAAAGCTTTTAATGGCTATCTTCACCTACATATAACCCTGCGCTAATTATTGTTTACTAGAGGTCCCCAGTAGTCGAAATTCGACTATAATTAATTGGAATTGTAAGTTTGTACACTATTATGATTGTATTTTATACTTCTATAATCACAAATTTCGCCAAGATTACACTATAAAAAATATTAACAAAGACAAACAATATTTAATCTATTCTCAATTTAACTACAGTCAAGGACAAAAGTTTGACAATAAATAGTATGCATGCGTGTGTGCGTCAAATACAT